TTGGTCGTGGTGTATAATTTGTTTGATGTGTTGCTGGATTCTGTTAGGATTTTGTTGAATATTTTTGCATCAATATTCATTAGTGATATTGGTCTGTAATTTTCTTTTCTTGTTGGGTCTTTTCCTGGTTTGGGGATCAGGTGATGTTAGCTTCATAGAATGTGTCGGGTAGTATTCCGTCTTTTTCTACATTTTGGAAAAGGTTGAGTAGTATAGGTACTAGTTCCTCTTTAAAGGTTTGGTAGAATTCTGATGTGAAGCCGTCTTGTCCTGGGCTTTTCTTTTTAGGGAGATTTTGTATAGTTGATGCTATTTCAGAGCTTGATATATGTCTGTTCAACATTTCCACTGCATTCTGGCTAAGTCTTGGGAGATGATGTGCTTCCAAGTATTGGTCAATTTCCTTCAGATTGTCATATTTATGGGAATAAAGTTTCTTATAATATTCATTAAGGATTTTTTTAATTTCTAAAGGGTCTGTTGTTATTTCACCTTTACCATTTCTGATTGACAAGATTAGAGACTTTATTCTTTTTTTCTTGGTTAGGTTGGCCAAAGGTTTATCGATTTTGTTGATTTTTTCAAAAAACCAACTTTTTGGTTTGTTGATCTATTCTACAATCCTTTTGTTTTCAATCTCATTTAATTCTGCTCTAATTTTGGTTATTTCTTTTCTTCTACTGGATTTGGGATTGGAATGTTCTTCCTTTTCCAGCTGCTGTCCCATTAAGTTGTTAACTTCTTCTCTTTCCGTTCTCTTGAGGAAGGCTTGCAATGCTATAAATTTCCCTCTTAGGACTGCCTTTGAGGTATCCCAGAGGTTCTGATAACTCGTATCTTCATTGTCATTTTGTTCTAAAAATTTGGTAATTTCCTTCTTGATCTCGTCTCTGACCCATCTATCATTCAGCATAAGGTTATTTAGCTTCCATGTTTTTATATGAGTCTGCAGATTCCTGTTGTTGCTGAGTTCATAAAAGTAATAGTTTAACTAAAAGGAAGAAGAAGAAAAACCACAAAAATCTCTCCTGGGCAAAACTTAAGAGAGTTTCCTGCCAGAATTAACCCGTGATTTACTTAAATAGATATTCAAGGCTATAAAACTAGGGTCTTATTCGAACTTTATAAAGACATTAAATGACGCACTGGAAAACTTGCAAGCCAAAGATACTGACAATTATCACCAAATCTTATTAACATAAGAGCAAAGAACTTTAAAATCAGCATGGTGGCTGGAATCAGGAAGTTACTGAAGAGACTGAAAGAAATGTTCAAGATTGGGGAACTGGGGTGTTGTCCAGTTGTCACATAGATACGGGCCAAAATACTGGAATCTACAAATCAAGCATAACCATGACAAACAGGTCCAACATAAATTTGACTGGCAAATTTCACACACTCTTCTTAACATAAAAAAAGAAAAACGGCTCGCACAAAAAGGGGAAGAGGAAAATTTTGTGCCATTTTGAAAAGAGGAAGTTGGTTTCTGACAAGCAAAGTAATATCTAGCATTTAAAAAGAGGAAAAAGGCTTAAAAGGAAGACAAATAGAGACAAGAACAATTTCTATAAAATCATAAATGCACAAACCAAGAGCAGCTCTGGACTTTAAATCTTGCAGACTTCTGAAGACTACAGGCACCAAAATTACCCATACAATCTGATCAACAATAAAACAAACAAGGCTCGGTGCCTGTGGCTCAAGTGGCTAAGGCGCCAGCCACATACACCTAAGGTGGCGGGTTTGAATCCAGCCTGGACCCACCAAACAACAATAATGGCTGCAACCAGAAAATAGCCGGGCGTTGTGGTAGGCGCCTGTGGTCCCAGCTACTTGGGAGGCGGAGGCGGGAGACTCGCTTGAGCCCAGGAGTTG